GCAAGCCCCAAACACATCTTTGCCTCCCGTCAAAGTCAAAATCATTCCATCAAGACCAGGAATGTGACTCGCAACCTCGCCTCGAGGGAAATGCGACCAAAGTCCAAAACAGCTCTCGAGCCTCCCCATAAAAATCCCCTTTTTGTCGAAACAAGATCCATAAACTGATGGCAATCTATGATCTGTGGCATCGGCATCCACTACAGGACGGGGACCCAGACAAAGGCACGCGGCGAAGTATTCCCCGGGGCGGCGATGGAGGAAAAATGTGACGAGTTTCTGGTTACTCTGTCTCCGTACCCTTTCGCGCTCAGCGCGCTTAGCCGCAAGTGATGGTCAATGGCACGCACATCACGCAGAATCCTTCCAGATAGACTTTTTCTCGGTTCCCTCGAATGCCCCATCGCGATGCCACATGGACCGCATCTCGAACCATGCTGATGCTTTTCCCATCCTTCCACCGCCCTCTGGGATTTGGTGCAGAAACCCAGAGCTTGGCATCTGGGCACGGCTGCCAAACCCGACACGAGGTCCCTTTTCCAACCTTCCATTATAGTTCCGCATGGACGTTGGGAGAAGGGAGAAACGTTTACTTGACTAATGTGCGGGACGGAAGGTCCATGTCTCCCCGCTTGTCAGCCTTTTTTGGTTGTCGAGCCTCCCTCCGGCATGATCGCAGCTATCCCGCCAGCCAGGGAACCACGACAACAAGATCCTCGTCGTCGTCCCAAGGGTGCCGAACCCTCGTCTGTACAAGGCACGATGGGGGTTCATGGGTGGGAACCCGTCAAAAATATCCAACGCCCGCCGGGTAGTTGGTTTAGCACAAGCCCAGCGCACCCCGGTCGAGCGTAGGGTACCTTTTCGGGGGACAGCCACGCAGCATTTCTGATCGTCCTTGTTTTGGACAATTCCTTTGCGGGCGGTAGATTCTCTCGAATCAAGCCAAATAATACCTACGCCACTCTACGGATACAGCAGGCGGCCACAGCAGGGGAAGCGTGGTCGGTCGGCTTCTTTTTCCTGCAGAGCCCCAGGATGAAGGGGGTGAGCCATCGATCAACCATTCCCGTGCGCTAGAAGCCATGGAAAGAAACGACATACCCTCCACCAACGGGGAAAGGACGAAGGAAAGAAAGAAGAGGGGACGGCGAACGGCGGCCATGGGAGAGAGATGGAGGCAAATCGCAGCGATTTACGGGAAGCCGCACGGAAGGGAAAGGTAATTAAGGGGGGAAAAACAAGAAGATGGGCGTAACGAACACATCACCAGTTGCGACAGCTCACATACCACAAGGTCAGCACCGGCGCGCATCGCGAATTGAACAAGCCATCGCCGCCCGCACGCCGTCCGGTCCCCGGGGAAAATAGGGAGAGCAAAACCTGAGAAGAAGAAGACTTCGCTGCAGCCGCAGCCGCAGCCGCAGAGAGGCAGAGAAGGCGTACGGTGTACCTCACACCAGGGGTTGGAGGTCTGGAGAAACAACCGATCCTCCAAAAGTCGAATGAATGGGCGATTTACGGGGGCGCCTGTCTGTCAATCTGTTGCTGCCACACACCCCCTCTCATCCATGCTTCACCTTACAGCGATGTGGTAAGATGCACACCTCCTACACCCCACCAACCCCAACCCGCAATTGGATTGGCATTGCTCGCATTGCTCGCACTCATGTCCTGGGCATCCAAATGCTGTCGGTAATGCTGGTTTGTACAACGACACACGGCGGCGCGTACAGCACCGACAACACAGGCTCAGTGCCAGGTCAAGCTCGCTCCGTAAAGGTTAGCTACGGCCGATGCATTGTAGACTGCCTACATCATAGCAACCTGACCATTCTGGCTCTTTTCTGCCTTGTGACGATGGCGGTGGTGGTGAGTTCTTGTTGTGTGATGCTGAAGTCGCGACTTTTAGTGACACTCACACACACCCACCCCGGACTTTTTTGTGTACCCTTCTTTTTCCTCCCGTCGAATCGGCAAAGGGGAAGAAACGGTGCGGGGAAAACAACGGAATCTATTTCTTGTACGGGACTGGATCAGAGGGGAGAAGGGGATCTGACATGACACAAGAGGATGACTGTGGCATAGAGAAGAGGCAGCGAGAAGGCAAGTTTACCCTTCCTTTAGTCACCCATCCGCGTACGACGTCCCACGAACATCGATATGAACAAGCAGACTACCCGTCTCTGCGATCTAGGGGCCCCCCTCTCTCACGCTACCCAAGTACAAGCCACACGTTGCTCTTCCTTCTCTCTTTCTGTCCCTCTATCTATCTACCGTGTATCTGTATGCGCCTCTCTTCTTGTCAACCCCATAAATACGGGTGTATCGTACCCTGCCAGCCTGCCTAACCTTGCCCACGTTGCACGCGGCGGAATCGGCGGACGGCGTGACTGCACGGTATATCTGCCATCCATATAGATAGATACCACGTCGTTATACGTTATACATCGCGATAATGCATGTGCAGATAGATGGACACGCCCTGCTTCACCGTCAGCCCCCCCCCCCCCCTTCCCCAATTTCCCGTTTGTGTCACCAGAGAAATCTTGAGATGCGTTGGTTTGTATCTTTTTCTTCGTTGTCTTTCACTCCCGAAAAGAAAATCAGATGTGCGGTCGCCTTGCCAGGTGCCTCGTCGGCTTTTGGCCTTTCCGCCTTGCGAATCTATCCAATCAGAAACCTGCCAATACGGGCCTCAGAATGGAAATCTACATGATATGATTCTCTCTGACCAAGCTCCCTCCCTGCATAGTATCCGTACCTGCCCAGCGCTTGCAGCCTGAGTGGCCCGACCCTCCGATGAGGAGGGGCGTGTATGTCTCGAAGTTGGTTCTTTTCTCAGACGGACGGAAATGCTGACGACGAGACGAGCCGTATGTGCAGGTACCTACCCACTCACTTACCGATACCCTCTACCTGTACAAGTGTATATGCGTATCTTGTGCAACATCGGGGGGAGAACCCCCAAGGCACAACGCTGATGAATGGATGAGGGGCAGATCAGAAACCCATTGAAGAGGGCAAGAAGACATCACATCATGTCGAACCCAACTCTGACGCAGCGTGGGTTTGCCAAGTACTTGGGTCGTACATACATCAGATCAGATCAGAGCCCATGACAAGTGACAACCTTTTTTACTTTATTGCCTTCCGATTTACCCTGTTGAGACTCAGATCCGTTCCCTCCCCCCCCTCTGCGTCCCCGATTCTTACCCCCTTCTGGCGCACGTTTGCGAGATTGCCCTGGACCTTGACCTCTCTTTTTGATCCTTTTTCATCTCATGCGTCATCTTATAGTAACGAGTTGATCCAAGGGGCTTTGGATATCTATAGTTTGTAGACATGAGGCAACAAAAATCTGGAGAGGAATCTCATCGGCTCCCGAGAACCGCGCGGCAACGACCCGTATCCAAACCACACACCATCCATCCACTTACCCACACTCCCCGTTCCTTGGAAAAAAGCTCACGCAAACAGGGAGGGGCCTTGTAATTTCTTCCTCTCTCTCGATCGACTTCTGTTAAGAATCTCACTCCATAATACTACACAGACAAATACGCAAGGGGAGTACGTACATTGTATCCGTACCCTCTACCACGGCACTCGAATCTCTGGGCCTTTCCGGGGGAAATCTGAACTCTCCTCAAGGTCCATCCCTCTTTACCCGCTGCGAACAAACCATAGGCGCATTTCTAAATCTGCATACACAAATCCACCACGCCTGATTTACAGGGACATTCCTTACATCTCACGGGAATATGGCGGTACCTAGGTCAATAAAAGAATGCCAAGTTTGCGAGACAGGAAAAAAGAGTTGGATCGATCTGGTGCCCCGGGTGAGCCGGCCATCTAACATCCCATGCCCATCCATCCCTTCCCATCCCGACTTCTTCTTTGCCATTGTACCTCTTTTGCCGTATTTCCACATGTCATATCCCCATGCCCCCAAGGATACCGGAAACCCCATGTTGTACCTTTCTCGATCTGATGCCTGCTCATCTGAGGATAACCTAGACGGCGGTGAATACGTAAAGGTCCCCTGTTCGCGTCTGAAAGAAAACCGAAAAACTCTCGGCAGTCAAAGTGAGAGGCGGTCTGGAGATCAACAAAGGGGGGCGCAGATCAAGTACCGAAGAATGAACAACACGAAAAGATCTCAGCTTTTCATGAAGAATTTCCCCCTAAGCCAGCCAGCCAGCCAGCCAGCCAGCCAGCCACCGCCATCCGCCATCCGCCATCGAGACCCTGCCTGAACTGCCGCCAGGACCGGAAACGACGTCCTGTTTGTGGCGTTGATCCGGGAGTCAGACGGTAAGCTCCGTGAGGTGACCGTAGGTAAGGTAGGTAAGGTAAATTAAGCCCGTAAGGTAGTTACGGTACCCGGCGGCCACGCACACACACACACGCACACGCACACACACACCAGTGACACCACGTGGGACGGGAGGCCCTGATGTTGACTGCTTCTGGTCACTTCTCACATCAAAACATTCCATCGCCCAAAAAAACAGATCAAACACTTTTTTGCATATGTATTTTTTTTCTCCCCGAGATTCCCGCTCCCGCTTATCACGCTTCCGAGATCGAGAAAAAGGGCCAAAGAAGCAAACTTGCATCCCGCTAACAAGCCTCCCCCCCCCTTCGTTTTCCCATCCACGTCCCCTGGTCTCAACAGGCCACCCCTTCTCTTCGACCACTGCATACCCATTCACTTGCCTACCGAGTATCCGTATCTCATGGCTTTGTTATGTCATTCAGTGGATGATGGGGGTGGACTTGGTCCTCACAGTGGACAGGGGCGGCATTTGTCACGAATGAGGCAGTTATTCCTTTACCTCTTACACGACTGAGATAGCACACGATGAATGATTCAGATCTCCCCTCCCACTTCTGTCTAGACGCCTCCTGGCACATATCATAGCATTCATGTTATAGACTTTCACGTTGTGAGCGTAGAAAAAAAAAGTGGCCAACAAGTAAGGTTTTGAAACTTCAAGTCTCGGTTATTCATCAGATTTCTTGAATCCTGTATTGAAAGCGTAGGTACAACTGAACTAGCCGCCCTCCTGACTTCCTTTTCCGCCACTCCTAGCCGCCGCCGCCTCCTGGTGGTATTTCGCCTTGTATGGCTACTCGTACAATTAAAAATCAGCTAAAACTGTTGTGTTGTTGTTGGTGCCCTCGCATGGTCCGTGGCATCAATGGGGGAATCCAATCCCTCATCCCGATTTCCCAGGAATATGTGTGATAACAGTGGTAAAATGCCAAGTTTGCACGTCCTTGCGCCCAAGTTGAAGTAGAGTAAAAAGAAAAAGCTGCCCGTTTTTGTTTCTCGCAAGAAATACGACTCCGATATCGTCGTCTACTTCTCTCTCTCCCCATGAGGACTGATCGGAACGCTTCACGTCTTCCCGACGTGTGCCGTTTTTTCTTACTTAGTCCTCGCCGGGAAACACCATCTCTTCTGCCAATCGCAGACAAGGAAAAAATGTTGGAAGGAAATGATAAGACGTTGTTTGCTTTGGTAACGATCGACTGTCGGTCTGCGGTTGCTCGCTCCAAAGGCGTGTCTTGTGGCGTCCTATTCGTTTGACGCCCCATATTTTGTCTAAAAAGCCGATATTCCGCTTCCCTTTGCAGGATGTGAACAAAACAAGACAAGGAAAGTGTCGAGATCAAAATGCAGTAAACGCCGCCGGATGAATGCCTAGTCCCTTGGTGCCCGTCCGATGAATATGTTGAAGAGCAGGATATATACATTCAAGATGAATTCGATGCCGGGTATTGAAAAAGAAAATTTGAGGTAAAGTAGGTGTAGCCAGTTTGTTGCTAGTTGCATGAAGATAACGCAGTGCAGGCGCTGCTGGATGGATAATAAGCCGTTAGGCAGTAAGGGGGTATCTGTTATGTGTGTATATGTGTGTTTGTGTAATGGCGCGGACCAGGCCGATTGTCGGGTCAAACTGGTTGCAGACCGGCCGATGAAGGTAGAGCTCGTCCGTATATGTACTTTGTATCTCGGGTTCCCTTGACGGACCAAGGCGCTTTTCAGCTTCTCTCATCAGAGGGCTTAGGTCGGATTTGTCGAGCCTCGAGTTGGCGCTTCCGCTCCAGTTTAGCATAATGCAGTCCACATGCGTTGCAAAGTGTGCGTGCACCATCAGGGCCTCGGCGCCATTCCGGGGTATCGATTCGGTTGCAGCTATGGCATCTTCCAGGAGGTGCAGCTCTCTGTTCCAATGGGTCAGCACTCTGTTTCTCCGATAGAACAACCGCATGATCGACAAAACTTACCCCTCTGCGCTTCTTGACTTCGGTGATGCCATAGGTCTTGTTCATGCCGTCGTACATGGGCGTGTCTTCGTCATCGTAGCCCTTCTGTTTTCCAGCCGCCCTTACACGTTCATTGCTTTCCTTGACAACCTGTCGCACCGAATCCAGTGAGTTCCGGATGTACTCCACATTATCAATCATTTCGTTCAATTCCTGCTCGGTGGGAAGTCGATCGTGCAGTGGATGATGAGCGCCCTGCTGTTCCGCAGCAATCTTGCCATAGGCCTCGGCGAAGTTATAGATCGTTCTTGTTGCTGAACCAATCTGAGTGAACTTATTGGTAAGCTTGACGGACAAAAGTTTTTAGCGGGGCCACTCACTCTAGAAAAACAATCCTGATACCCCCACGCGTCTAGGTGTGTCCTGACCCGCGCAGGACCATACTCGGGGTCCTCTCTGTGAGCTGTCGGGCGCTGGGCCTCGTAGGGGAAAGGGGGAGGTGGACCGGCGTGGCGCGGAGAGACAGGATACCCAGGCAACGGGACTTGGCCTGGCGGAAGCTGGCCCGGATGTTGGGGATGCGGATATATCGTCGGCGGAGGTGGAATGGAATGTTGAGCGTATGGGCCAGCGTTCTCGGGGGCACGCGCATCGCTCTCGCGCATATCGCGCATGTGCTCATGCTTGAGAGGAGGGCTCGGCTGAGGTCCAGAGAACCCGCCCAATGGCGCAGGCGGTCGACCTGCGAATGGAGGAGGTCTCGGGGGATCTGAGATGGCCGGGAGAGCATCTTGCCTCGGCGCGAAGGTCGAAGCAGGAACAGGAGGTCGAGGCGAGTTCTTGTCCGTCGACTCGGCGTAGGACCTTGGAGGTCCAGGTGCAAAGGGCGAGGGGAAACTTTGAGAGCCCGACATGCTGGAACCCTGAGAAGGGGGGTATGGGCTGGGCTTTGCACCAGAGATGACCTCTGAGAGCGAAGGGAGCGACTGTCGATGAGGAGTCTCCGACTCGTCTGATGGTCGTCGAGGTTCAATCGGCGAAATCATGCCTGCGATGCTTGGTCCTGGAGCTGGGTGGTGTTGATAGCCGGAAGAGAAGGACGAGGGAGGACCGTAATGGGAGCTCGGGCTAATAAGGGCTGCGGTCGCCATGGCGGGGCCGTCGCGGTAATGTCTATTATCGAGAGGCTCTCTGGGTGGGAGATGACGAGGTTCAAAGCGATCAGGGTTGCTGGCAGAAGGTGGACGGCTGTTTAAAAGGTCTGATTAATACTTGGGTCTAGGCACAAGACGTGGGAAACAAATGAAGGCCAGAGCCAGAGAAAGGGGGGGGGGGTGGGCGTCGAGTAGAATCGAACCTACCTTTGCCTAGTACCAGATCCGCCCGCTTCCATAGCGGGTTTGCCGGGAGAACAGATGAATGGTGATTAAAACCCCAGATGCGAATGTAGGTCTCTGTGCATCTGACTCGACCAAGGCGTGAGGGGACGAGAGTGAGCCTTAGTCCGTGAGGTCGGTGTCAAGACGGGAGTCCGGTGAAGTTTGGTGTAGATGGGTGGAGATGATAGGAGAGACGGTCCAAGGTGGGAGGCTCAGAGTCATGTAAGAATAAAAACCGGGCAGGGAAGAAGGGTTACAGAGATGAGTGAAAGAGTGCAAGAGTGAAAGATGGGCGAGCGAAACCAAACCAACCAAAGACAGAGTATGTGGTGGTAAGGTGTGGTGTGGTGTGGCTTGGCCTGGGACGAGAAGACGAAGTTAGGTTAGGTTAGTCGAACCTCTCTCTCTCTCTCTTTCTCTAGCTGGGTACCCGGTAGGCAAGATCTGATCAAGCTATCGGGCGCGTGTGGTATGCGTGGTGGCGGGACGGGAAGGTCACCGCATGTATCTTTCTCTTGGGCTTGGGCTTGGGGGGGCGTGTGATGGGAAGGGGGTGGAAAAGGAAGGGGGGGCAATAGATCGGGGGTGATGCTGGCTCCAGTTGGGTGTGTCGAAAGATCCGGAGCTGAGAAAGAAAAGCCGCCTAGCGTTGGTCAAGTTACCACGCTGCTCTTTGTGGCGGCTTTTTGAATATTTCTTCCAAGACACACTGTTAGAATCCCTCGTCGAGACTAGTCCGAGTGTGCTAATTTCAACTGGGTCTGGGAGTGAGACTCGAGGAGGGGTGTGGGTTCGCGAAGATACCGTGAACCTGGACCGGTGGGAAGTTCTGAATTTCTTTTCGATGCCGATGCTTTGTGGTGCCGGTCTAGTGCCTGGTGAAGCGGGCGCCCTTCAACAAAGTGCTGAAGAGACAGAGATGTGTGTTCGTACGTCGGATAGAAGCCGTGGCTCATATGGCGGCGCTTGTGCCTCTATCGTCGTCCGGCAAGTTGAACCAGATGAGTCGGCGGATAAAATGTGATGAGAGATCGCCTGTCTAAGCGCGGGAGGGTCTATCACCGACTGGTGTCTGCCGATTTGTGCCTTGGGGGTTTGGCACAAAAAATGTGGATTGGGAGTGGTCAAACTCGATGCGGTGAAAGGGATTCGAGTCTTTCGATGTGTCGAGGTAGAGGGGATTTTGATGGATGTGTGAGAGGAAGAGGAGCAGGAAGAAAAGGGAAGAAGAGGGAGAGAGGAAACGCGGTTGTGCGGATTATGGGAGGAAATGACAGAGGTATTATGAGACCAGCGGAGGACTGGCACTCAGGGCTGGGTATGATTTCTGAGTGGACGTATATTTCGCATACATTTATGATAAAGTACAGAGGTACCTGCGCGGCAACAGGGGGGAGGGGGTCATCACAGGAGGCTTTCGGTACAGTGCCTCAACGGCGGAACGTCCATGTTCCCTTTGCTCCTGATGGACCAGATCCCTTCCCTACGCAGTAAGGTAAGTATTCTTGGGGTTGTGGGGGGAGGGCATGGAATTGATGCCCGGGGGACCAGATGTGCGGTGTGTTGGACTGAACCGCCTGGGGCCAGAGGGAGATGCGTGTGCATGTACCGGTCAGAGCAGACAGGGGGCCCGGGGGAGTCAGGTAACGCATCGTATTGTCAAGGTATCCATCCAGTCGACGGGCCGGGGTGAGAGGAAGGGGGGAAGTTTTAGCATCTAGATTGGCGGCGACTGAAGCTCGATTGATTGACTGATGTGCAGATGGCCTGCATTCGGAGCTTCACCTCTTGGGATTTGTTCCGTTCCGTGCGGTCTCAGTGAGCCTAGGCGACTCGAGCCACCATCCTGAGGCTTCCTTGCCGAGGGACGGGACAACGTAAGGTAGTACGAGGCGAGAGTGTCTATGTGTAAGCCGCGAACTGGTACATACTCTCAGTTGGTTGCGACAGATGCAGATTGGCTTGACATCAAACGTTGGAGACAATACTCCGAGAGGCGTCAGGAAGTTCTCATAGCGCCGTGCGGCAAGCAAAAGATCGGCCAAGGGCTCGCCAGGCACTCTTTCTTGCCTGGACTCAGCTTCAGCCTATTCAGAGTTTAGGACGCACAGTCGGCCAGCTCCTCATTGAGAGCACTGAATTTCTAAAGAGTTCCGAGTTCTAGGCTCTCAGCACCCACCCATAGCCTCGACTGCGAACAAGTGCCCTTCCAGTCGAGTACGGGCATGCCAATATCTGATGACGAAGAGAAAATGGTACGACTTTTTGCAGCGCAGGGGAGGCGCCCCACGATAATTGGCCCGCTGTCACGGCTGGATCGCAGATTGGCTGTTGAGGGGGTTCTGCGGCTGGGCAGGGGGGCTCGCTGGGATCATGATCGGTGATGACTGGGGGGGAACTGCAGCGGAACACCTTCCAGTCACCAGCAACAATAGCGTCGGCATCAGCGTTAAGTTTGCCAGTCGCTCTTGGCCCTTGGGATTGCGCTAAGCTGCGGCAACGCTGGCAGTGTTGACACGACCAAGTTACAGCAGCGATGAGCTGAAGGATGCTATCAGCGATCTGAGACGGGTTTCGATCAAAGGTCTATTGACAGCGTCCCGTATCATCTTGGTAAGATACAGAGCGATTGCATCAGGCTGTACTCCGTAAAGGTTTGCGTAAAGACTGGCAACGAAGGGATCGAGGGCGCAAGATTGACCGAGAATCAGAAACGTCGATATGGCCAAGCCATTGCGGATACTGCGATGTCGTCGATGAAGAACGTGACAGCAGCAACGTCTCGATTGCCGGGTGGGCCAGGCAGTGGTGTGAGATGGAAACTGTGCTTTGTCTCTTGGTGCCTTCATTTCTTTCCACCCATGCTCGATCCATCTTCCTCTTAGCGATGTCACGAAGCTGGCAGTGACTGTCGTTGACAATCCCTGGACGACCCTCGACAACCGAGACTTTGTTCACTGTGACGGCCCCAAGATATGGAGGCATCCAGTCGAGCAGGTCAAGGGTTCATTCGTGAGGAAGCCGATGAACAGGGAGTGGGGAAAGACTCGAGGAGGGTAGACAACTGGCGCTGGGAAGTGTCAAGGATTCGGCGCCGGAAGCTCGAGCACAAGGTAGCCCGTGTGATCCCTCAGAGCACCCTGTCCTTGTGATGTTGGCAGCGGCATGAGCTTGATGGATGGGCGAAGTATCCGTACCGGGGCCGCACATTTTGAATGTCAGATGTCTGTGACCAGGGGATGTCGTTGGGTGATTCGCAAGGATGGTGGCAGGTATACGTCTCCAGATGGATCTCTTTTCACTTTCCAAGGTATCCGGTGTCGCCCTTTTTTCGAATGAGATTTGAAGAGGGGATCGATTAGTGAGATGGCCAAAGCTTTGAAGCTGCCCGCGGCTGCTCAGAGCTCCTCGGAGCTCTCTAGAGCTATCGATTGTGCTTCATAGGGTGCAGCACGGTGATATTCTCAATGGTCGCCATGGGCATGTGTATAGATACAAGACCTGCTGCTGGCTGAGCTGGATGTTGACAGGTGATGATGGACTCTTCTCCGCCAAGCAATGAAACAAAGGGTAATTGACTGGCAAGCGAATCGCATGCAATGAGGAAGTGTGTTGATGGGATAGAGGGCCCGGACCTAGGTCCGAACCCGACTGGACTGACGTCGGGATAGGTTTTTTTTTCGGCTTCACATATTCCCAGCCTCTCAGGCACCCACGCTAAGAAGCTAAGGCTCCAAGGCTTCAGTCTGTCATCTCTCGGCCCAATCATGGACCGCGCCGATGCGTCGCCGTCCCGAACTTTCTTTCAGAGGAAGGAGAGGATTGGATAAGTATCTCGAGGGAAGGAATACGCTCTGGCCATGTGATAAGGTAGGTAAGGAAGGTGCGTGTCCTCCCACTTGCTCGCAATGGCCACAGACGGTAAGGAGAGCGTAAAAGAGTACTCGAAACAGTTGGAAGGATGAAGGGGAGAATTGTGATGGAGTACAAGTCGGAACCAGGGAAGTACCCGTAGATGGTACTTTGGACGCGATCTGGGCAGAAGCAGAGGGGAGCTGGTCCGTACGGTGTACCTACATACCTAGGTAGGTAACGTACGGAGTACGGAGTAAGGTAGACAGCGTTGGAGTTCCCTACAGTGGCCACGTGCTGTAGCCCACCTGTTTGAAGCCTTGTAAGGTCGAGCGAGTATCCTCCCAAAGAACCCGAGGTGGAAACCTTGGAACCTTGCGTTCCCGAATACAACTCAACTTGACTTGAGGAGATTGCCATGTACCTTATTATTTCGGAGTAGTCCAGGAGAGCGATTCATCGTATGCTGATGAGCAACGAAAACCATTTCTTCATCTCATCCAGTACTGATTTACTGAGGTGCCCCGGCTCAGTCGATGGACTCCACTCATGACGACCCAGTCTGCTCACAGTGAGAGGTATCTGAATGAGAGAGCCCAGTGCCCGAAACTGAAAATGAAGGGTGAGGTGACCATCGAATCGACGGGAGGAAGCCGCCCGCCTGTCCATCGAACCCACGCCCTTCCCTGCTGCCTTGTGGCCTTGGGCGGGAATTTCACAAAGATCCAATGGGAAGACCCATTAGAAATCGGATAAGATGGGGCCCCTTCTCTTAGGTAATCCAGATCCATCCGAGCTTCTCCCAGATACGCACCCACCAAAGTGACCAAACGTTGTGCAGTCACGCAGTGTGCACTCCCCGTCGTTCGTGGGAGCTTCCTCTCCACCTTTTCATAGTATCCACTTTCCTTGTTTTTTTCCCTCTCTCTTCGTTTTTTCCCATCTCATCTTTCTCTCTCTATCTGTGGTGTGTGTGTGTGTGTGTCTCTCTCTCTCCGCCTGGTGCGGCATGCCCCTGGCCAACCACCGGTATTCAATCCTTCAACTCTCTTTCGTCATCCCCTTTGGCTGACACCCGTTTAGCAGCAGCTTTCTCCAACTTCCTCCAACAACTGTCCCTGTCCATCAGCCGTCATGGCTTGCTCTGTTGCACGCCCGTCACATCATTTACCTTTTTTGGTTTTCGTCGCCCTTGGTTCCTGTTCTTGTCAGGGTCCCGGAGGAACTGGGCAGAAAATCCATCCGACCGAACCCTTGACATCAAATTGCACCGCTGTCCGAGTAGCCGCGAACCCATGTTGGTCACCGATGTTGGCATCGGGTTCCAGGCACACCGTCCTCACGGTCCTCTGCAATACCGGTACGGATACCCTTCAGGCCACCATCCATCCATCGGCCATCCACCAAGACACCATCGAAAGCTCATATCCACCACCACACCCCCGTACGTCATATCATGCCCATGTCTCTTCTACCAACGCGGCAACACCTCCTCCCACCCAGGCTTGGATGACTGCTCACTGGCGGTCGTTGACCGAGGGTCTTTTTTGGAGTTTGTACGGATACTCCCTCCTGCAATACCCCCGGCCCACCCCGTCATCTCGCGCAGTCCAACTTGGCCTGTCAGATTTTTACTCCGGAAATCTGGTTGCAAGAATTCGCCTTGTGATAGTTCACATTGACCAGCGGCATGACGCTTTACAATTGGTCGCACTGCACATTTGTATTGCTGACCTGCTGTATTCACTGTGCCGCAACTCTTTTCACCCTGGTCTCCATCTGGCGTAACCGGTCGACTTCTTACAGATGTCAGAGCAATCCCGGGCTTTGCCACTCCTGTCGCCCTTCTTCCCGAGTTGCCAGAGGCCTGGAGGCTGCGGATACTCGAACGCTTACAAGGCAAGCCCCTTGCTCTTCTCCACGATACACTGACAGAGAACAGAAAAGGACTAGAATTGGGCATGCCAACGACAAGCCCTACAGACCTCCAACTCACGAAAGTGCTGATCGTGGCACCACACCAAATCGTTCCTAGCAGAATGAGCTTTCTCGAACCTGCACAATACATTTGACTGGCGGATTGAGTATCCGTACATCGTCTTGAGGTGTGGCCGCGAACTACGTTGGGCTCTTCATCGGCCACGCTTTGCTACCATCCACCAAGCATCAAGCCGAGCTCTCCGGAGAACGTCAACTGCATCTCCCTTAGGACCAGGCTGGTCCGCGACTGTCATACCATGAATTGCGTCGTGGCTAAGGATAAGCAGCCGTCGGTTATTCCTACCTCGCGGAACGCTGTCAAAACCTCAACGCAGCTCGCCGGCATGCGGCCAATATATCGGCCTGCTTGACTCTTTCCGGTCCGGCCATATCAACTCGCGTTGTAAGCCAATGAAGGCTCAGCACCACCTCGTCGCGTTCAGTCATCTCGTTGCATCTTCACGTCTCGTATTCACCTTGATGACCATCTACCGGTATCC